GTGTCCCCCACTGTAATCTGGGGCTCGCTGAGTGATTTTTCCGCTTTCTCCTGGCCAGGTGGATGGTGCCATCGCCTCCTGCTCGGAGATGCACGACATGAAGGAGGCCATCTACGAGTACAAGAAGAAGCTGGAAGGGATCGGGGAGGACTATCAGATCCAGGTACATTAAGTGAGAGGGTCGACTCGGATGCAAGCCGCCCAGGCGGGGTAATTTATCGAATTGTTTTGGTGCGGGGACGAGAAGAATGTAAATTCTGCAAATCCGAAGCTTCCTGTGAGCTGGAAATTTCCCAGGGATGTGACACCTGGAAGACTGTGGAGCTTTTCTCTGTTTTTTTTGTTGGTTTTTTTTTTTTTAAATTTTATTTTATTTTTTTTACTTTCCATAATATTGAGCAGCCTGGGATTTGGGAGGGAGGCTGGCCATTTCGGGCTTCGGCGCTGCTTCTGGTAGATGACCTCAGGGGCAAATAATATCTTATGCCCTGGTTTCCTCAGCTCTGAAGTTGGAAAATCAATACCAGCCTGGCTGGTAAAGGTCCTCGGGAACTGAGAGGGGTCATTGCTTTAGAGCTTTTCCTGCAAATGTAGCAGCAAAAAGGCGAGATTTTCTATCTGTGGATTTTTATTTTTCCCTCCTTGTTTTGAAAAGCCATCGCGGTAGTTTTCCATGCTGGAAAGCCATGATCTGCCTTTTCTGACAGGCCAGCTCCTCACCAGGAGATGGAGGGATGGAGGATGCTCAGGTGGAAGCACTGCCCTGATTCCAGCCTCTTTGGGGATTAGTTTTTATTTAAATCCTGAACGTGGAGGGGTTGGCACTGGGGCTGGCTGTAAAGGGCAATGCAAACCCAGGTGCTGTGCGGCCAAGGAGAACAGGCTGATGCAGAAAAGCACCATGAAAACAATTAAGCCATGGGAAAAGTCACTTTTTTTTGGCATTTGACTCCAAATTTTAGCCCCCTTTCCCTTTTAGGGTGGATTTGAGTATGTTTGTACAGTAGCAGGTACTTTCTTGTACAGCGGGGGAAGCTTGGGCATGGGATTTTTCCTGCCATCTCAAAGCCTTTCCCTGATTTTTCTCTGCTGAGGAAGGCTGCTCTATGTCATCCTTGACACCGGGGAAACGGAACATCCAGGGAACTGCCGTAAATTAGCTATGAGGGGTGTTTATTTGAAGCCCGTGTGGAGTGAGAGCAGGTTTAAACAGCGGCGAGAGGCCAGGAAAATGGGCTGGGAGGGGAGGAGGAGGAGGAAAGAGGAGCTGATCAAAAAAAAAAAAACGAGCTGGGTTTTGGTAGGGCTGAAGGGGCTGCAGGTGGGACCCGGGGCAGCAGGGCTTTGCTGGGTGAGCCAGCGGAGCCTCGCTTGATTTTGTCGAGAGGAAGGTTTTTTCTGGGCATGGAGGAATGATGTCGCACTGAGTTGTGGGTTTCTGCCCTGGTTTGGGGGGCAAAAGCAGAGAATTAATTCCTCAAGCGATGGTGATGCAGGAGTAACATCTCGGTGCAGGATGCTGAGTCCGGAACCTCGCGCTACCCAGGTAATGATGAAGATGAAGATGAAGAAGAGAGCATGCTCAAAGCCATCTCTCTAGATCCTGAGGGTCCTCCCGGGCTTTAAAGGCAGACGAGGGTGAGCTGGGAGGCAACGTCTCCGGCCGACTCCCTGCATCCCTGCGCACAGCATCACTGGTGTGGGAACCTCTGTCCCCAGGCGTGATGCTACTCGAGCGTCTCTGAAGGCCACAGAGTTGGCCAGGGTTGGGGAAGGACCTTTTGTTAACCAACCCCCTCCCCTTGGGTTCTCCCATTGGCATCTGGACAGTGTATTCCCCCCTCCCTGGGGACAGCAATGGCCCTTGGATCTGATTGGAACCATTCCCAGCGTGTCCTTGGGCTAAAGGGAAGATTTTGTTTGAGGCGAAATGCGAATGTATGTCTTTAATATGGAAAACTTGAAATGTTTAGTTAAAAAAAAAAAAAAAAGGAAAAAAAAATCAGATTTAGTTTTGTATGTTTTGGTTTTTTTTTTCCCCTCCTCCTCTTCATGTTTGGAAGCAATTTCCTTCCAGACAAACGGCTTGGTGAAGTTAGCAGGAACACACAAAAAACCTTCTGAGTGGCTTAAGTAGCATTTCTGCCCTTTTTCCCCCAGCAGCACTTCTGCTGCTTGTTTGTCTCTCTTTGAAGCCAGCCCCAAAGACACCTGTGTAGGGCTCTTTCCCCAGGCTCCTGGCCCGGCACTGGGTGTCACCGATCCCGTTTTGCTTTCAGGGGAGCAGCACCAAAGAGTATTTCCTCCAGAGGACTTTGCAGAGCCTCGAACGCTACTTCTACTTGATCACTTTCAATTACTACCTTCATGAGCAGGTAAATAAAAACAACCAACCGACTAAAAACCAACCACCCAACCCAAAAACCCCATCCTTTGTTGTTGTTTTTTTTTATTTATTTATTTTCGGGTTCCCCGTGTAGTGGGAGGGAAGGGGTCTCCACTTCTGAATTTCTGAAATGTAGGTTTGGGATGTTTTGGGTTTTTTTTGTGTGGTGGAGTTGTGGGTTGGATCCGGGCAGGGGAGTACGAGTCCAGGCTGACGGTGTGTGTGTGTGTCCCCCTCCTCGCCGGCAGTACCCCCTGGGCTTTGCCCTCAGCTTTAGCAGGTGGATGTGCCGGCACCCCGAGCTCTACCGGCTGCTGGCGGAGATGAACTCTTCGGAGCTCACCGTCACCGGTGACCTCATCACCAAGGGGACGCGAGTTATGGTGGGTACCCGCCCGGATGTGTAGGGATGGAGCTGGCTGCTCCTTGTTTTTCTTCAGGAGCTGGCACCTTGCTGGGGTGCTCAGTCTCCAAGAGATTCAGTGGGGTGGGAAAAGCGAGGGGTTTTAAGGCAAGTCGTGGGGGTCTCCAGCTTTTGTGTTGGGCTCTCAGGTCCATGTCCTGTTGGCATCCTCGGCATGTGGCCGGAGACCCCTGTGCCCCATGGATGCATCCGGTACTGAGATTCTGGAGCAAAAACTATTCCTTGGTGGTCCTTGGCTTTAGTGGGGCGAAGAAAGCCAGAGTTGTTGGTGGCTCGCTGCTACTTTGGTGTGGTCTTGCTGCAAGAAGAGCATCTCCCACCTTTGAAATGCAGCTGTGGGGCTTTGAGCCTGTGGTTTGGAGGGTTGGGGGGACTTCTCCGGGGCTGAGACCACAGTGGGAAGAGCTTGTGGTTGCAACTGCAGGTCGCGCGCCCCTTGCCCAGGCTTTTCTTTGCCGCAGGTAGCAGACGAACGCTTCTGCCCGGATGTGCTGAGCACCGCCAAGGAGATGAGTGTGGCCAATTTCCGACGGGTGCCCAAGATGCCCGTCTATGGGACGGCACAGCCCAGCTCCAAGGTGAGGGGCAAGCACTCTGTGGCGGGCAGTGTCGCCCGCGATGACGGGGGAGGTCCCAGCCTTCCTCTCGTCACCCTCGTGAACTCCTCTCCCTCAGACCCTGGGGAGCGTCCTGCGTTACCTGATGGATGCCAAGAGGAAGCACGCCCGCATCGTCTGGATCAACCTCCGGGAAGAAGTGGTCCTGGAGGGAAACGAGCAGATCTATACAGTGCGGGAGCCTCAGCACCTGGAGGAGCTGATTCCTGTGCCCACTGCCTCACCCCAACAGCTGGAGGTGAGCTCCCGCCCCTCCAGGATGGGCTCATCATTCTGGGAGTCATGGAACCGTAGAATGGTTTGGGATGGAAGGTCTCTTTAAAGGTCATCTGCTGCAAGCAGGGACATCTTCAGATAGGTGACTAGTGCTGAGAGTGCGCGCGATCCCACTGTCCATGTCATTGATGAAGATATCAAACAGCACCGGTCGCAGAACGGACCCCTGAGGGATGCCGTTTGTCACCCACCTCCATCTGGACCACCACTGTCATCGAACCAATTCCTCATCCGCCGAATAGTCCACCCATCAAATCCACATCTCCCCGATTTAGAGAGAAAGATCTTGTGGGGGACCATGTCAAAGGCCTTACAGAAGTCCAGACAGATGACATCTGTAGCTCTTCCCTTGTCCACTGATGTAGTTACTTGACCAAAGAAGGCATGAGGTTGGTCAGGCAGGACTTTCTTTGACAACGAGGTGGTTGTATTGGGTGCCGTGCTTGGCTCATGTCCTCCGTGTCTGCTGGAGGCTGAGGAGATCCCGGCTGATGCAAACCCAGGTGGCCAACCTGCTCTTTATTGGACCGCAAAAATAAAGGGTCCCTCCCGACTTCGCTCTCACTGCGCAAGAGTTTGCCAAGGCAGAGCAAAGCGGAGATCCCACCCCAAAGAATTTGTAGCATGGCTTGAGAGTGAGGGTAAAAGGCACCCCGGGGGAAGGAGAGCAGATGTTCCCAGCTGGGTTTCCAGAGGAGATAAGCTGTGGAGGAGTCTATCCCCAGCAGCTGCATGGAAGAGCTGCCCGGGGTGTTGGGAGATGATGCTCCTGAGGCTCCTGTCAGGCACGTCAGGGGATGGTGGTCCTGGGCAGAAGCAGTGGCCAGGGCCTGGTGTGGGATTTTGAGTCAACTGTAGGTGTTTGAGCGGGATGTCAGCCTGCATCTGAAAAAAAAAAAAATATGAAAAATATGAGAGGGTCTTAGGGTGAGGGTTTCTCTGTCCTCTGCAGAAACTAGAAGCTACCCTGAAGGGCGACCTGCTGAAATGCCAGAAGTGGCTGGAGGTGTACCTGGAGGTGGAGAAACAGATGAAGATGTTTAAGAGCTGCCTCACCATGCAGGAGATATTCAACCAGCAGAAGAATGCCTGCCAGGGGCTCACCTACCACCGCATCCCCATCCCTGACTTTTGTGCTCCCAAGGAGCAGGTACCCCAGGCCACAGGATGGTGCTGCTGCCTCCTTCCCAAACCATCCTTACTGCTGTGGGGTCTTGCTGGGGCAAGGAGCAGGGGGTCCTCTGGGAGGTGCTGCATGCAGACCAGGGATGGAGAAGGAGGCTGCTGGGCTGGATCGGGGGGCAAGGAGATGGGGATTTTAGCCTGGAGGCTGTAGGACAAGGGGGATCCCATGGTGGGGGAAGGAGGATTGGCAGCCTGTGCTGACCCAAGGCAGCTGGCATCCATAAAAACCCACTGGCTTCAACCCTGGCAGGACTTTGACCGGCTGCTGGAGGCGATGAAGAGCGCCCTGGCAGAAGACTCACGGGCAGCCTTCGTTTTCAACTGCTCCAGCGGCCGGGGCAGGACCACCACGGCCATGGTCATCGCTGTCCTCACCCTCTGGCACTTCAATGTGGGTATCGGGGCCTGCAGATCTCTCTGGGTGTCGGGATGGAACAGGGGCTACTGGAGAAGCTCAGCCCAGCCCTCAGCAACTGTTGCACAGAGGGAGGGTTAAAAGGAGGGTGGGGAAGGGCCAGGGTGGGCTGTTGGAGGTGGACACCCATGGATTGGCCTCCAGCCCTCAACTGCTCCAGAAGTGTGGATGTGTCCTCGGTGAGCCTTTACACCGTTCCTGTGAGCTCCCACCCCAGGATGAATAATTAAGCACAGGACAGATGCGGCTCCCTCCTTGCAGAGGAGATGGGCATAAAATTTTGGACTTCTCTGCCCATGTAGGGGGGAGGCGGAGGATGCCTGAGGTGCTTGTGGCTTGAGTGTGGTGGGGATCTGCGTTTCTGCTCAGCCCCTAAGCCACACTGTGGTCCTCTCTCACTGCCCCAGGGCATCCCTGAGATGAGCGAGGAGGAAATCGTGAGTGTGCCTGATGCCAAGTACACCAAAGGGGAGTTCGAGGTGAGTCCTTGGGCCTGACTCTGTTTTAGGGGTCCCCCTTCGAGCCCACTCCTTGCTACCTTAGCCACAGCTGCTTATTTTGAGGGACCAGGTCCTCTCCTGGGCAGGGACAGAGCAGCGGGGTCAAAGCAAGGAGGTACCTGATGAAGCCCCTGCCACTTCTACCCTCACTCCAGATGGTGATGAAGGTGGTCCAGCTCCTGCCCGATGGCCACCGGATGAAGAAAGAGGTGGACATGGCCCTGGACGCTGTCAGCGAAACCATGACGCCCATGCACTACCACCTCCGAGAAATCATCATCTGCACCTACCGTCAGGTGAGCGAGCCCTCTTCCCCATCGGCACGGGGCTGCTCACCTCTGCCTCCCATCCTAGAGGGTGCAGCCGGGCTCCAGGACCAGCCTGGATGGTTTCTTGGGCTGAAGCTTTCTGGCATGTCACCGGAGAGGTGCCAGGGTTCTTTTGATCATCGTCACCCAGTGCTGTCTTGCATCTCACGCCCCCCTGCATCCTTGCCAGCATCCCGCCCATCTGGTGCCCCCCAGCATCTCACATTCTGGGCAGCATCCCACCCGCCTGGTGCTATCCTGCAGCCCACCCAGCACCTTGTTTCTCTGGCACTGTCCTGCATCCCACCCAGCTTCCCTCCATCCCGGCATCCCATCCATCCAGCGGTGCACAGCCGGCAGAGGGCAGGGCTGGTCTGTCCCGCTCTGTTCCCAGCCCTGAAGGCTCCTCCAGCTCCTCTGAGCTCAGAACACCCATTCTTGGGAGAGCATTTTTTTTCTTTTAGGTTTTTTTTTCTTTTTTTTTTTTTTTTAAGCTACACAACTATTTCATGGGTTTGGAAGGGCTGAGCTCAGGGCTTGGCGTCATCCCTGCCTGCGCTGAATCGACCCATGTCCTCCCCAGCGATGGTCTCACCCGCAGATTCTATTGACCCCTGTTTGCAATTAACGGAAGGGAGGAAAACCCAAAGCATTTAATCACTTAGTGACGTCCATAGCTCCCCGGGTGTTTGCCTCTCCTGGTTTAGGGGGTCCTCTCTGCTTTTTTAGGGGGGCTGGGCAAGAAAACCTGAGCTCCACTGAGGACCTGACTATTTATATAGAATAAAAATAAATAGGATAATATAATACCGTGATAAATTATAGGATAATAGGATAAAAACCAAATAGGATAATATAATGCCATGATAAATTATAGGATAATAGGATAAAAACCAAATAGGATAATATAATGCCATGATAAATTATAGGATAATAGGATCTGCCCTCTGCAAATACCAACACTGGAGCAAGGAGTTGATGTTGTTTGGGATGGTCTGTGGGACTCGCCACGGGATTGACTGTGGGATTCGGGCTCTTACTCTGGGTGGCTGTTTATTCCTTATTTATTAATTCCTGGAATGGGCATTACTTTTCTTAAAAAACAAACCAGCTATATTTTCTCTCTCTAAAAATAATAAATGGAGATGAGCTGGCCACCAGCCTTGGAGCAGGGTGCTGGGTAGCTGCTGCGTTCTCTTCTCCTCCTCTGGTGTCAGAGGCTGAATCTGACTGGAGGATGCTGGAACAGGGATGTGTTTTACCCTGGGGAAGTGCTTTGCAGTGCAGGAGCTCACACAGTTTCAGGTCTGGTTTGCACTTGGGCATCTATTCATGGCTCCTAGGCACACCTCCCAGCAGCACGTTTAGCAATCCCTCATCTATTTTTGAGGTCTGCGTGGTAAAGGGGAAGTTTTATATGCTGGAAACCACAAGGTAAAGAATCCTGGCGTGCCGAGCCGTAGCAGCAACAGGTTGGAAGGATGCACTTATTTTTGCCCCCAAAAACGGTCCTTCCTCCTCAGCGGGAGGTGAGACGGGGGCTGGGCTGTGTGTCTTGGGAGATAACGGGGTTGGAGGGCTGGCACGCAGTGGAATATCTGGCTTTTTCCCTAGCTCAGGAGGTCTTTGTGGGTCCTTAACTGCCAGACTTCACGTGCGGGCTGGAGAATGGGAACATGGATGAGGAATTGGGCACTCTCCTGGAGGTGGGTACCACTGGGCAACTCAACCAGTTTGTTGCCTCCTTGCAGGGGAAGTCGGGCAAGGATGAGAAGGAGACGCGGACGCTGCAGCTGAGGAGCCTGCAGTACTTGGAACGCTACATCTACCTGATCCTCTTCAACGCCTACCTGCATCTGGAGAAGAAGGACTCCTGGCAGCGGCCCTTCAGCCTTTGGATGCGTGAGGTGAGTTTTTCTTCGCCCAGCCCTCCAGCGAGACCTCTTTCAGCCTTGCATTTACAGGGTGCCGAGAAGCAGACCCCCCCAAAATATATATGAGGTCCATACTTTTGTTGAGGGTGACGTGGGTGCTCTGGGTGAGCTCCCGCTGGTATCGCCAGGCTGGTGGCTCTCTTGGGAAGCCAGGTCACTGGAGATGGGTGGCATCCCACCAAGTGGATGGGGTTGCTTCTCCCAGCCCTTCTTCTCCTCTTTCAAGTTTCCCAGGGTTTTATTTTGCCGGTCATGATTGTGGCACTGGGGCTGGGAGGCTACCAGCCAACCACCACCTCCTCGGGCTCCTTCACCTAGCTTGGTTAGCCTGGTTGTCTATCCTCGCACCCAAACTCACCTCTGGTCGCTTTGCGGCATATGAAAAATAGAATATCCCGGCCAAATGGGTCAGGGGAGTGAAAGGAAAGAGTAGTTAAAAGCAGCCACGTGCTTTGCCTTGCCTTGCTGGGGCAGGATGGGGACGCTGGCGCTGGGCATCTGAGAAAATTGGGAGCCAGCTGAAAAATAAATGGATTTTTTCCTGCTATCCAATCTGATCTTCCATGCGTGGGTTGACATCTGCCTGCTTTCCCCCTCCGGAGCAGGGAGGGAGGAAATAACGCCCAACCTGCTGCTACAAGGAGCCTTTTACCCCTAAAGCGCCCTTTCCCACTGCATAATCCCTGCATTTTTAGCAAAAGGGGAAAAAAAAAACCCCAACAACAAAAAACAAGGCGCCGTTGTTAGCTTTGTGGCGGGAGGGTGCCAAAGCCAACAAACTCTGCGCCAGCTGACCCCGGCAGCGAAGGAAGCAGCTTTTGGAAAACATATAAACCATGGCTGGAAGAAAACTAGGAGGGGGGGTGCGGAAAGCTTTGAGAGGTGGGTAAGTACCTGGATGCTGGGGGATGCTGGGGACCTTCCCGGCGCATCTTCAACTAGGAGGATACTGCGGTGGTGGGAGGTGGGGACTGGTTAAATCTTTTTTTCCTCTCACTTTTCAGGTGGCGGGGGTAGCTGGCATCTATGAAATCCTGAATCGGCCTTCCCCGAGCTGGAAACCCCGGAGGACAAGCCCCTGGGCACGCTGCGGGGCCGGTGGCAAGCGCAGGCAGGCACCTCTCGCCCTTTCCGCGGGGACTTCGTGTAGGATTGGGGCGGCGGGTGTGTAGGGGTATGTCCTCCCCCACTGTTTTTTCCTGG